CCACTGGATTTCAGACTTGCATGGGCCCTGTAGCCCCTTTGTTTTGGCCAATTTCTCCCATTTGGAATGGCCGTATTTGCCCAATACCTCTACTCCATTGTATCTAGGAAGTAACTAACTTGCTTTTGATTTTACAGGCTCACAGGCAGAAGAGACTTGCTTTGTCTCAGATGAGACTTTGGACTGTGGACTTTTAAGTTAATGCTGAAATGAGTTAAGACTTTGGGGGACTGTTGCAAAGGCATGACTGATTTTGAAATGTGAGAATATGAGATTTGAGAGGGGCCAGGCATAGAATGATATAGATTAGCTGTGTTCGCACCCAAATCTCATTTTGAATCACACAATTCCCATGTGTCATGAGAAGAACCTAGTGGGAGGTAATTGCATCATGGGGGCAGGTCTTTCTCACGCTGTTTTCACGACAGTGAATAAGTCTCACGAGATCTGATCATTTTAAAAGAGGAGTCCCCCAGCACAAACTCTCTCTTTTTGGCTGCTGCCATCCACCTCAGATGTGACTTGCTCCTCCTTGCCTTCCACCATGATCGTGAGGCCTCCCCAGCCATGTGGAACTGTACGTCCAATAAGCTTCTTTTTTTTTGTAAATTGTCCAGTCTCAGGCATGTCTTTATCAGCAGCATGAAAATGAACTAATACAGTCTTGTAGATCATCCATACTACAGAGCTGGGGTTTTAGCTACAAGCAGACAAACATCATGACTCTGTTGGAAATCTGAAGGCAGAATCACCATGATTTCCCATTTCATGCCAGTCACAGGAATTTCTGAAAATAGCTTGGGCCAAAATCATGTTGTTTATAAAAAAAACTGTGGCATACAGAGCTACATATAAGATTAAAAAATCATTCACCCACTGCCAACTAAGATTCAAATGAATGAAGAAAAAATCAATTTATAAGAAAAAGTATCACAGAAACTGTTTTTGAAATATGTCTGTATATATAGATATGCCCATACACATGAATATATATATATATATTCACACCATATTTATATGTGAAATTGTAGTTTTTTTGAGCCTCCCTAGGATTTGAAGAAGAAGGAAGAAGTAAAATATTTTTTTTCTGCAAAACAAGGAGAGCTTGACTACAAGATGTCTAATGGTCCTCTATCAATTAGATTTATATCTTCTGGAAGCATTTGCCTCTCTGCAGGCTATTCTCACTTCTAAATGTTTGACAGAGTCTCCTGCCAAGCCATGCACACAGCTGAAAAATGGAAGATAAGTTCACAACCACAGCATTTGCAGGATGGCTCAAGGGGAGGTAGCTACCCTCACTGTGTTTACAAAGGTACTAGCAAAGAAGCATTTCCATTCATTTTCATTGTAATATATACCATGGATAAATAACTTGGCACTGCAAATATGGGCCCCTAAAACAGTTTCATCCTCATGGAAAGCTGATTAAGACAGAATGACTAGGTATGTGGTCCTGTGCACAGGGACTCATCAAGTCCCAGAAGCCGTATAATAAAGGATGACTACACACACACACACAAATTACTTGACAGATGAAAATTTCAGTAGTAAAATGTGACCATCTGGAATAACGAGCCTAAAGAAACAAAAGTAAGACAAATGATACCCAACACGAGGGTCTAGACTAGTGGATGGAAATTCAGACTTCTCATTAGTCTCAACTGATTGGCCCTCTCCCCATGTCACATATTTTTTCCTGGGGTGGATAAACAGCCAAGATGCCTCAACAGTAGTGGCATGAATAAATCTGTTTCAGTTTTGCACTTAAACAAGTAAGAGGAACTTAAAACGACTTCACATGATGACCTGCAGTCAACCTAAAATAATCTGAGCATGTGCGGTCATATAATTTTCAGTAGCATCCACACAAAGAAACAACATTACCCCTTGTCTTCTTTATTCCAAAGTAAAAATGAAGACAATCATGTAAGAAACCTGTCTTTGGTTAGTCAGCCAAGAAATGCTTATCTACCTGTGGATAGACATTTTATTTTAAGATGAGACTTCCTGTAGATGTTTCTGTACTTAGAAGATTAACATAATTGGACCAGGACTTACTACCTTTTTTTTTTTTTTTTAATATCTCAGTCCTGAGCTTAAATGAATATTATTGGTTTTCTACTAGGCATCTCCCATTCTGTGTCTCACAGACGTTTCAAACTTTCAGTCCAAAATCAAAGCTGGGATTTACCATCCCCTCCCCTCCTCTGTCTTTTTCCCACTTACAGCCTTAAGTGTGTCATCCATCAGCAAAGCCTGCTGGTTCCACCTTCAAAACACTTTTTCAAAGGCTGTGCTACAGCTCTGGTCCTGGACAGCACAATCTCCTTCCCAGACTCCAGAATTCAAGCCCTCACTGGTCTTCCATCCTGTCTACTGTCTACTGTTTACTGTCCAACCAGCAGCCAGAGAGGACTTTTAGTAATATACATCTGACCATGCTTTCATGAGCTGAACTTCTCAGAAAAATCCAAATTCCTTATCCAGGCTGAAAGGCATCCCACACTTACCATCAGCATCTCTGACCTTTCCCTGCCTCATTTACCATCTATGACAAAACATTGACCTTGCTCCTGTTTTTGCCACATGCCAACCTCTCTCCTGCACCAGGGGTTTTGCTCTTGCTGCCCCCTTGCCCAGATGGTGTAAGGTCTGGCTCCTGTCCATCTCTTACCATTTCGCTCTTCATAGACTTCTTTCCTGACATGTCATTCAACATTCCCTTCCCCTTGTCACTCCCTAAGCTCTTACCCTATCTGAAGTGTGGAAAGTAGATACTGTTTTCTTTTCTTTTTTTTTTTTTTTTACACAAAGTTTCGCTCTTGTCGCCTTGCCTGGAGTACACTGGTGCAATCTCAGCTCACTGCAGTTTCCTCCTCCTGGGTTCAAGCAATTGTCCTGCCTCAGCCTCCAGAGTAGCTGGGACTACAGGCACCTGCCACTGTGACTGGCTAATTCTTGTACTTTTAGTAGAGATGGCGTTTCACCATGTTGGTGAGGCTGCTCTTGAACTCCTGACCTCAGGTAATGCACCTGCCTTGGCCTCCCAAAGAGCTGGGATTACAAGTGTGAGCCACTGCGCCAGGCCTGTTTGCTTATTTTTGAGACTGTTTTCACCACTAGGCTGTAAGCTCCACAAAGCAGAAACTTTGATGTACTGTGATTGGTACATGGTAGGCACTCAATAAATATTGTCAGATGAAGGAATTAGGAGACAAATTCATTCCACACCTTGGAAGTTAGTACACAAGGATAAAATTCTACTAAACCCTTGAAACATCCTACTAGGTATCACCGTATCTTGGCAACTGTATTAAACAACCACATTAGACTTTCAAGGTATGAAAACTGAAGTGTGGCACTTCCAGTTTGAAAGCTGAACTTCTTTATATTTAATTGGTCTCTGAGAATTTTTAAATATTGTACTCATTGTCCCAATAATGATACTCTATATGAAGATAAGAAATTATGATCTAGCATAAAATTCGTACTGTAGTCTTAATTAGCTTCAAATGCCATCCTTAAATCTTGCCTGGTGCTTCACACCACACAGTTGGCTGCTTTTCTTTGTGTAAGCTCCCTCTGGGGAACTGCGGCTCAAAAATGACATTTGTGGAAATGACTTGGGAAAGCCAGAGCTAATTCACCAGAGAAGCACATTCTTCTCATGTTAACCCTTGACTGTGTGGGAACAACGCCAAGGTCATAACTATAGTTCCACGGGGGCAGGCTACCCTGGGGTGGACTCCAAATGGAGCCCTGTGTGCCCTGGGGGCAACAGGAAGGCTTGCCAAGGGGATGCAGGGTTTGGGGTTTTAAGGGAATCCATTTTCAGATTCTCAACTTCCTTAGGCACTGAGAACAAAACTGGTCTGCCTGAAAAACGTGCTTGCATGATCTTTCACAGCTTCCCTTCTCTTGTTTTACAAAACCAGGCCAATTTTCTCCCTGCTGCAGACTGGCAAACATTCTCTGACATGAAGCCAAGGGTATTTGCTCAATGCCAGTGTCTGGGTTGAGAAGGAACAACCATGATGATGGACAGTTCATCCTTTTCCTCAAAGAGGCAGTTTCCAGTTCTTTACCTTCAACAAAATTGAAGGAAGACTGAATGACGTTGACAGCTAATAGATCATTAAAAATAACTTCTGATGATGGATCCCATTGAGATTTTAAAAAAATCAATGCATAAGGAGTTCACAGAATCAAGTAGTATTACTATCAGGAAAGACCTATTCTCTTCACCTGATAGATATAAGTAATGTTTTTCAGTATTTAAATCTATAAAAACAAAAAAAGAATAAAATGAGACTGAATCTTGTTCAGTCAAGCAATAAGTAATATTATTTTTGAATATAGGAATTGATTGGGAAAAAAAGCCTCATCCATCTGGTGAATGCATTTCCAATACAATTTTACATTTTACATTAAATAATTTTAATCAAGATAAATGACATTATTTTGATCAATTTTATTCTGCTAATAAGTATAGTAACGATCTATAAGAAAGTTTTAAGTTAAAGACCAATACCACAAGAAATATTTAAAATATATCTTAATTTATATATACTTTGTTTGCAAAGAGAATGAGCAATGAGAGACTTTAAAGCATAAAATACATTAATCAGGGTAAAATTTTCAGGAGCTGTCGTAAAGTTTCTAATATTGACAGGTAATCTGCTCACATATTGTGGAAGAGGACGACTCTGGGTACTAAACCACTGTGGTATCCAGATTTTAAGGGACATATTTAAAAGAGGGATGTGTCAGTTTTATTTTTAAAATGCCACCCAGGAAACTAAACTATATTCTTGGCAACAATTTAAATCTAAATATGTGAGGGGGTGGGGGCTGGGGGCATAGCTTTCCAAAAGTCTTCTAGAGAATTAACAAGGAAAAATAAACTGCATATCCCTACTCTTAAACATTCTGTTAATGATTTGCAATCATTGATTCTAGCAGTAAACTGACATAGGCATCCTCCAGCCTGTGAGTGGTCAGGCCACAATGGGGAGGAGCCGGGATCCTCCAGAAGAACAGGTCACCTTTCCCTTAAGGAGATTGCCAGGGTGGGTCAGCCAGACCCGGAAGATGCCAGCAACAGGATAAGATGACTTCAGAATTTCAGGCAACTTGGGGGTGGGGAGGGCTGGAAGAAATAGAATCCTCTTCGGCATTTCAGAATGCCTAAGAGTACTTCAGAAGCATTTCCTAAGAAATGAAAGGGAACACACCTGGCCTTCACCTTAGGAACACACCTTGCCTTCACTTTGGAAACACACCTTGTCTTCACCCTGGAAACACACCTTGCCTTCACCCTGGAAACACACCTTGCCTTCACCCTGGAAACACACCTTGCCTTCACCCTGGGAACACACCTTGCCTTCGCCCTGGAAACACACCTTGCCTTCGCCCTGGAAACACACCTTGCCTTCGCCCTGGGAACACAC